TTTTTATTATTTGGTATCCTCCAATCTCATTTTTCAGATTAGTGTAGCTTGCAGTGTAATGGCCTTTTATTTCTTTTATTAGATTAATTCCTAAGTATTTCATTTTTATTGATGTTATTGTGAAAGATGTGGTTTCCCTAGTTTCTCACTCAGTTTATTATTTGTATATAGGAACGCTATTGATATGAGTGTCGACTTTGTATCCTGTTACACTACTGAATTTGATTATTGAGTTTAAGAGTCTTTTCATAGAATTTTAGGGGTCTGTATTGGTCAGGGTTTTACTAGAGAGAACAGATATAACCTGGAATATATAGAAACAACAAGATTGGCTTACGAATAGTCAATCTCAGAGTCCGATGAGGAAGCGTGCAGAGGGTGTCTATGCACTGGAGGCCGAAGGGTTCAATCCAAGATCTCTGGAGTTCACCCTAGTGTCTTGTGCAAGTCCACATCAGCAGGCTGATGGGTCCACGACAGAAGGCCGAAGGCTCTGTGATGAAAAGCTGAAGAGTCTACGCTGGAAAGCTGAAGAGTCTATACTGGAAGCCAGGAGGCGAGGTCCAAACTAAAGGTGAAGACTGGAGCTTCTCCCAAGAATGGCATTGATTTGTCCTTCCTCCTCTCCTTTTATACCTCGAGGTGATAACTCACCCTAGGGTGGGTCTTCTTCTACATCCTTGGGTGTAGAATTGCTAAACTCATTTAGTTAGCTTCTAACTGTCTCAAGTTGACACAATCAATCAACCACTAGAATCCACCCCTTGTCAACCTGGCAACCAGACACATTTCTTTAAACTAGTTCCAGATACACAAACATGCATATAATTGCGCCTAACATGTTATGACTGTCCTTCATACAAACGGAAACACAATAATTCCCTTACCAAAATACACAATGTAACTTTTCTTTGGTTGATGCTTACTCCTATCAGTTCATAAGCTTAACATTATAACACAAGTTTAACAATTCCCAAAACACAGCATTACGTCTAACATTATGTTACACTGAAACCGTATTTGGGGAGAAGTAGTAATCATAATCCCCTTTTCTGTAACTGATCACGAGAACGTAGCTGGTATTTAGAACTTCCTTCTTCCACTACCCATTCTGTATTTCCTTGGCCTTTAGCAAGCACCTCAGCAGGTCTTGGTTCTTTCCCCGGTGGAGTGACCCATACTTTCATTCCTGAAGGTTCTGGACCACTTGTTACTTTGTCTGGATTAGGTTGCTTTAATTTTCCATTAACCTTAATGACAGGGCATGGTAATACTAAAAGGCGCCCTAAGGAATCTCCTGCACTCCATGTATATTCTTCCTTTCCTCCATTGTGGAGTAGTAGTCCAACTTCCCCTTGGTAGTCTGGGTCAATCACCCCTGACAACACCGTGACTCCCTTTTTAGCTTGTTTCCTCAGAGGCAAGAGGAGACCAAAATGACCAGGGGGAAGTCTTAGCTTCCAGTTCAATGGTACCATTGTCGTGCTTCCTGGTATAAGCCTTCCCCCCTCTGGAACCAAAACTTCTAGTCCAGCAGAACATGAAGTCATGGGAACAGGAAGCAAAAATTTTGCTAGTGGATCACTAGGGGTGATGGTGAGTGGCACCATTCCTACTTCCACCCCTTGATTCCTGGACCCATGAATCCTGGCTATGGGAGACACAGTGCCATATAATGGACGTTGATTCAAAGCATATACAGCCTGTTGAAGTACTTTACCCCAGCCTTGCAAACTATTGCCACCTAGCTGGCGTTGTAATTGTGTCTTCAAAAGGCCATTACATCTTTCTATCAATCCAGCTGCTTCTGGATGGTGAGGGACATGGTAGGACCAGTGAATTCCATGAGCATACGCCCACTGCCTCACTTCTTTAGCTGTGAAATGTGTTCCTTGGTCAGAGGCAATGCTATGTGGAATTCCATGACGATGGATAAGGCATTCTGTGAGTCCACGGATGGTAGTCTTGGCAGAAGCATTACGTGCAGCAAAGGCAAAGCCATATCCAGAATAGGTATCTATACCAGTGAGGACAAAGCGTAGTCCCTTCCATGATGGAAGTGGTCCAATATAATCAACCTGCCACCAGGTTGCAGGTTGATCACCTCGGGGAATGCTGCCATATCAGGGACTCAGTGTTGGCCTCTGCTGCTGGCATGCTGGGCATTCAGCAGTGGCTGTAGCCAGATCAGCCTTGGTCAGTGGCAGTCCATGTTGCTGAGCCCATGCTTACCCTCTATCCCTGCCACCATGGCCACTCTGTTCATGGGCCCATTGGGCAATGACCTGGGTGGCTGAAGAAGGAGGTTGGCTACTGTCCAGAGAACGAGTCATCTTATCCACTTGATTATTAAAGTTGTCTTCTGCTGATGTTACCATTTGGTGAGCATTTACATGGGAAACAAATATTTTCATATCTTTTGCCCATATAGAGAGGTCTATCCACATACCTCTTCCCCAAATATCTTTGTCACCAATTTTCTAATTATGTTCCTTCCAAGTTCCTGACCATCTGGCTAGACCATTAGTTACAGCCCATGAATCAGTATACAGTCTCACATCTGGCCATTTCTTTCTCCAGGCAAAATGTACTACCAAGTGCACTGCTCGAAGTTCTGCCCACTGTGATGATTTCCCTTCACCACTGTCTTTTAAGGATGTCCCAGAAAGGGGCTGTAATGCTGCAGCTGTCCACTTGCGGGTGGTGCCTGCATCACGTACAGATCCATCCATAAACCAGGCCCTATTCTTCTCCTCCTCTGATAACTGATCATATGGTACACCCCACAAGGCTATAGGTGCATGCTGGGAAACTGAAGGCAACATAGCGGGTATAGGAGCCATAGGTATTTGGGCAACTTCCTCATGTAATTTACTTGTACCTTCCAGGCCTGCTCTGGCTCGATCACGAATATACCACTTCCATTTAATGATAGACTGTTGCTGTGCACTTCCAACTTTATGACTTGGTGGGTCAGATAATATCCAGGCCATGATAGGCAACTCAGGTCGCATGGTGACCTGGTGTCCCATAGTCAAGCGTTCAGTTTCCACTAGGGCCCAGTAGCAGGCCAACAGCTGTTTTTCAAAGGGAGAGTAGTTGTCTGCAGTCGATGGCAGAACCTTACTCCAAAATCCTAAAGGCCTCCACTGTAATTCACCAATGGGGGCCTGCCAGAGACTCCAAACAGCATCTTTGTTTGTTACTGATACCTCGAGCACCATTGGATCTGTGGGATCATATGGCCCCAGTGGAAGGGCAGCCTGTACAGCAGCCTTGACTTGTTGCAAAGCCTTTTCCTGTTCTGAGCCCCACTCAAAATGAGCAGCTTTCCGAGTCACTCGGTAAATGGGGCAGAGTAAGACACCTAAATGAGAAATGTGTTGCCTCTAAAATCCAAATAGGCCCACTAAGTGTTGTGCCTCCTTTTTAGTTGTAGGAGAAGCCAGATGCAACAATTTATCTTTTACCTTAGAAGGGATATCTCTACATGCTCCACACCACTGGACTCCTAGAAATTTCACTGAAGTAAAAGGACCTTGAATTTTTGTTGGATTTATTTCCCATCCTCTGGCTCTCAAATGCCTTACTAATGAATCCAGTGCAGTTGCTACCTCCTGCTCACTAGGCCCAATCAGCATCACATCATCAATGTAATGGACCAGTGTGATATCCTGTGGCAGAGAAAAGGGATCAAGATCCCTTCGAACCAAATTATGACATAGGGCTGGCGAGTTAATATACCCCTGAGGTAAGACTGTGAAGGTATATTGCTGGCCTTGCCAGCTAAAAGCAAATTGTTTCTGATGATCCTTATGGAAAGGTATGGAGAAAAAGGCATTTGCCAAATCGATAGCTGCATACCAAGTACCAGGAGATGTGTTAATCAGCTCAAGCAAGGAAACCACATCTGGTACTGCAGCTGCAATTGGAGTCACCACTTGATTCAGTTTACGGTAATCCACGGTCATTCTCCAAGACCCATCTGTCTTCTGCACAGGCCAAATGGGGGAATTGAATGGAGATGTGGTGGGTACCACCACCCCTGCATCCTTTAAGTCCTTGATGGTGGCAGTAATCCCTTGGATCCCTCCAGGAATGCAATACTGCTTCTGGTTTACTATTTTACCAAGCAAAGGCAACTCTAGTGGCTTCCATTTGGCCTTCCCAACCATGATAGCCCTCACATTACAGGTTAGGGAACCAATGTGAGGATTCTGCCAGGTACTAAGTACATCAATCCCAATTATACATTCTGGAACAGGGGAAATAACTACAGGGTGAATCCGAGGACCTATTGGACCCACTGTAAGTCGGACCTTTGCTAAAACTCCATTGATCACCTGGCCTCCATAGGCCCCTACTCTAACAGGAGGGCCACAGTGACGTTTTGGATCCCCTGGAATCAGTGTTAGTTCAGAACCAGTGTCCAGTAATCCCCGAAATGTCTGATCATTCCCCTTCCCCCAGTGGACAGTCACACGAGCAAAAGGCCTTAGGTCCCTCTGGGGAAGGATGGGAGAAAGATTAACAGTGTAAATTTTTGGTGCATTAGAGTCCTTCTCCAAGGGGACCTGGCCTCCCCATCATTCGAGGGGTTCTGGGTCTGTAAACTGGCTCAAATCTGGGAACTGGTTGAGGGACCGTGATTCCCTGTTAGCACGATTTGATGTAAGGTTCTGTTCATTTGCCCATAAATTTTTTCGATTATATAAATCTAGTAAAAATTTTGTAGGCTTCCTATCTATTTCACTTCTAGGAACGCCATGGCTAATCAGCCAATGCCAGAGGTCTGCACGTGTTAGATTATTCTGGTTATTGTTCTGCCTTTGTTGTCCATTCCGGTAAGTACGTGGACCCTGCTTTTGGCGATTAAGTGCCGCCACTTGACCTCTGCCACTATGGGACCCAATCAAGCCCATTGCCCTTAAATGTCCTAATTGAATAACTGCAGTCCCCACTGTAAGGTCTGGCATGCAAAGAAGAGCAATAACAGGGCCCTACAGGGATGCTGGTGCTCCCCTCACAAATCTGTTTCTCAAGGTGCTGGTGAAGGGTATGTTTTCTGGATCATCCCCATGTGGAGGATTAGGTTTAACTTGACAGATCCACTCCAGCATTCCCATTTCCCTGAGTCTCTGAATCCCTTCATCAATAGTAAACCATGGAATATCAGGCATCTCTAACTCATTCACAGTGGGCCATCTTTTGATCCATATCTCTGCCAACCATCCAAATAAGCTATTAATACCTTTCTTCACTCCACGAGCTATGACATTAAATTCAGAATCCCTACCTAATTGGCCCATATCAACAAATTCAGCCTGATCCAGATGTATGTTTTTGCCACCATTATCCCACACCCATAAAATCCAGTCCCATGCTTGCTCATCAGGCCTCTGCCTGTAAGAGTTGGAAAACTCAAGAAGCTCTTTGGGAGTATAGCGAACCTCTTCATGGGTCACAGTATGTATCTCTCCTTTAGGCGCTTTCTGTGCTTTGAGCCTGGTTATGGGCCTGGAGGCAAAAACGGGTGTTAAGGGTGGGTCCTGAGGAGCAGCAGCATAATCCTGTTTAGTCAACATAGCATTAGCTTCCCCAAGTATGCTAGGAGATTCCAACACAGCAGCGGGTGGAGGTGGTGACCCCTCTGCCATTTCAGGTGGGGAAATCTCTCCCTCAGGTAAAATAACTTCATTAGCATCCAGAAATTCAGTATATTCACTTTCCTCAGAATCCGCCCATACATCTCCATCCCAATTCATGGGATCCCACTCTTTTCCAACCAGTGCCCTAACCTTTGCTTCTGATACCCTTCGAGGCTGAGCATTAAATTTACGTTGTAGTTCAGCCAATCGAATTATGAGGGACTGTGTCTGGGTTTCTGCAATCTCAGCCTTGCGGCTAAAAGAGAGGAGATTTTCACTCATGACACACTGAGAAACTTTTAAATTTCTTATCTGTTTCTGGAGATGCAATTTTTCATTCATTAGTTTGTCCAAAGCGGCTAAGACCAGCCATCCAGCATCATTATATTGTCTACTGTGCCAAAGATACTCAAAATTGTTTTGTACAGAGTCACTAAATTTTTGACATCTCACAATTGGTGAATTAGGATAATCAAATGGATCTATGAGACGTATTAGTTTAAACAGTTCATGCCAAGGATTATCAGTATATTCCACAGAAGTAGAAGCAGAGACCTTGGTGTCTTCAGGTCTCACCAAATTGCAGAGCCAACTCCAGGAAGCTCTAACACCATTAAAGAATGCCATTGTTATAATTCTGTTTCTCTAGGACCACTCTCAGTACCAAAATCTGTATTGGTCAGGGTTTTACTAGAGAGAACAGATATAACCTGGAATATATAGAAACAACAAGATTGGCTTACGAATAGTCAATCTCAGAGTCCGATGAGGAAGCGTGCAGAGGGTGTCTATGCACTGGAGGCCGAAGGGTTCAATCCAAGATCTCTGGAGTTCACCCTAGTGTCTTGTGCAAGTCCACACCAGCAGGCTGATGGGTCCACGACAGAAGGCCGAAGGCTCTGTGATGAAAAGCTGAAGAGTCTGTACTGGAAGCCAGGAGGCGAGGTCCAAACTAAAGGCGAAGACTGGAGCTTCTCCCAAGAATGGCATTGATTTGTCCTTCCTCCTCTCCTTTTATACCTCGAGGTGATAACTCACCCTAGGGTGGGTCTTCTTCTACATCCTTGGGTGTAGAATTGCTAAACCCATTTAGTTAGCTTCTAACTGTCTCAAGTTGACACAATCAATCAGCCACTAGAGGGTCTTTTAGGTATAGTATCATTACATCTGTAAATAATGATAACTTAAATTCTTCCTTCACTGTCCATTTTTGTTTAGCTTCTTTTACTTAGCTAATTATTCTGCTTAATGTTTCCCTAACTATTTTGAAAAGGAGTGGTGATAATGGAAATCCTTGTCTTTCTCCTGGTGTTAGAGTAAAAGTTTTCAGTTTTTGATCATTTTTTGTGATGCTGGCTGTTGATTTGTCATAGATTAAGACCTTCTATTCCAATTATCTGTAGGGTTTTTATTGAGAATGGGTGTCGGACTTTTTCAAATGCTTTTTCTGCATCTAATAAGATGATCATATGATTGTTGTATTAAATTCTGTTAATATGGTATATTACATTTATTGATTTTTATATGTTGAACCATTCCTACATCCCTAGGATGAATGCCAGTTGGTCATGGTGTATAATCTTCTTGATGATCTGCTGCATTCTCTTTGCCAGTATCTTGTTGAGGATATTTGCATCTATGTTCATTAGGGAGATCAGCCTGTAATTCTCTTTTTTGGTTGGATCTTTCCCCTTTTTGCGATCAGGTGATGCTTGCTTTCAGGAATTAATTTGTATATATTGCTTCCCTTTCAGAGTATTGATGTTAGATCATCTCTAAGTGTCTTTTGAAATTCAGAGTGAATCCATCAAGACTTGGGCTTTTCTTTGTTGATAGGTTTTTAATTACCTCTTTAGTATCAATGACTGACAGTGGGTTATTTAGAATTTTTATATCTTCTTATTCAGCTTTGGCAATTAATATGTATCTAGGAACCTGTCCATTCCTTGTTCATTCTCCATCTTATTAGAATACAGGTTTTCATAGTAGGTATTGATGATCTGAATGTCTGCAGAATCCATTGTGATTTCTCACTTTTCATTTCCAAGACTGTGGATTTGAGTCTTTTCTTTCCTTTTTTTGGTGAGGTTGGCTAAGGGTTTGTCTATTTTACTTAATCTTTCAGAGAACTAACTTTTTGACCCATTGATTATTTTGTTTACCTAGTGTCAATTGTGTTAATTTCTGCTTTAACCTTTATGATTTCCTGCATTTTATGCATTAGCGTTTAACTTGCTCTTCATTTTCTAGATGCTTGTGGTTCAACATTAGGTCATTTATTTGAGATACGTTTTTCTGATTTGAGAATTCATTGCTATAAATTTTACTTATAGAATGCTTTCATTGTGCCCCATAAGTTCTGGTATACTATATAGGCACTATCATTTAATTGTAAAAACTATCTAATTTCTTCTTGACCCATTGGCTGTTCGGGAAGATATTAATTTTTATGTGTTCATACAATTTTTGTGTTTTTTTGCCATTGATTTCTAATTTCATTGCACTATTATCTGAAAATATACATGGGATAATTTCAATTTCTTGCAATTAAGCATGCTTTATGAATTAGAACGTGGTCTATTTTGGAGAAACTGATGTATGCAAATGAGAAGAATATGTATTCCATTGTGGGGTAGAACACTAAAGATATCTAATAAGACCATTTGTTCAAAAGTTTGGTTCAGGTCTGATACTTCTTTGTTGATTTATTAACTACTTGGTCCATTCATGACAGTTTTTTTTAAAGTCCCCCATTAATATTATTATATTAGTGTTTTCTTTTTCTTCTCCATGAATGTTTGTTTTATATTGTTGGGTGTGCTGGTATTTGGTGTATATAATTTATGATTACTATCTCATCCTCTTTGATTGTTCCCTTTACAAGGATGTAGTGACCTTCTGTGTCTCTTTTGGTCAGTCCTTCTTTGAAATCCACTTTTGCTGCAAATAGAATTGCTCTCCCTTCTTTTAACTGGGTTCTTGTCACATATAGTATTATTTTCCATCTTTTGAATTTAAGTCTATAAATTTTCTTTTAAGTTAAATGTGTTTCTTGTTACAGCATATTGTTGGATCTTGTTTCTTGATTCATTCTGTCAATCTGTTTCTTTTGATTGGTTAGTTGAGACCATTTATACTGATGCTTATAACTAATAGATATTGACTTATTCTTGTCATATGATTTTCCTGTTGTTTCATGCCTTTCTTTTCCCTATCTTTAATTACTTACTTTACCTGGTGAATTAATTCTGTAGAGATTCATAAAATAGTTGTGTTCATTTTTTTTATAATATACTTCAGAACTTTTTGGAGTGCTGGTTTGATGGTTATGAATTTCTTCAGGGATTCTTTATCATGAAAGTATCTCATTTCTCCATCAATTTTTAAAGAGAACTTTATCTTTAAATCTGTGTCTTTATCTTTTCAATCTGTGTTGAAAGTTGATTTCTTTTATGGGTTGAAATACTTCACTTCAAGTTCTTTACTTTAGGGCTTGTGTTGAGAAGTCTGCTGTGAATTTGATGTGCTTTCTTTTATAGCTGATTTCTTTTCCCTAAGAGCTTTTAGTATTGTGCTGAATTTCTGGAATGTTGACTATTATGTGCCTTTGTTTAGTTTTTTTTTTTTTTCTAACCATGGCTAATTGGCATTCTGTATTCCTCACTTATCTGTATGTCAAATTCTTTTTCTATGCTTGGGGAATTTTCTGCCATTACTTCTGTGAACAGATTTCTTATGTCCTTTGTGCTATGCTCTGATTTTTCATCGATTCTGCTTAAACTTATGTCATTCTTCTTTACATCATCTAGTAGCTATTGGATTAAATTTTTTGGTCCCTTGAAATTGTGAAGGAGGCTTTTCTTCAAGTGAGGAAATGATTGCTTTTTTATTTTATAGAAAAAGTGAACAAAATTTCATAAGAAAATAATAGAACAAGAAATAGCCATAAAAGTTCTCCAAATGATATTAGCACAAACCTTTCTTTCAATGAACTAAGACAAATTTGTAATTTGTATTTTTTCCTTTTCCCTTCCTTCCTTTCACCTTTCCTTTTTATCCTACTTCCTTTTCCCTTTTGAACAATTTCTTCCCATTTCACAATATCTATTATACATTTTGGAATTTATTTACTCTTTTAGTTTCTCACACCAGGGAGACAATACTAGGTTTACACATGTGAGCCTTATTTAGTCTCAAGTTGCATCCATTTGCCTATAGAAGTCTCAAGTTTACTCTTCTTTATGGCTGAGTAGTACTTCACTGTATAAAAAGACCACATCTTTTTTATTCATTATTTGTTTAATGGGCATTTGGGTGGGATGGACTGCAAGATTTAGAATTGTGCTGCTATAAAAATGGGTACATATCTATTACTGCAGTATGATGTTTTTAATTCTTCCAGGAAGCTACTCAAAGGGGAACAAGTTGGCCGAATGGGACTTCTAATCCTAGTTTTTTAAAAGAATCTTCACACTGATTTCCACAGTAGTTGTATCAACCTACAGTTCTGTAAACAGTGGGAAAATGTACCTTTTTCCCCATAGTCCCTCTAGCACTTGAATTGGTTGATTTCTTGATGACAGTGTTTTTTTCTGGGGTGAGAAGCAATATCAGTGTTATTTTGATTTGCATCTCAATGATGTTGAACATTTTTCATATATTTACTTGTCATTTGTATTTCTTCATCTGAGTAGTACATATTCATTTCAGATGGTCATTTTGGATTGGGTCTTTGAATTTGCGGGCCTGATTTTTTCAGTTGTTTATATGTCCTAGTGATATGTCCTTTGTCTGAGGGACAACTAGCTAAATTTTTTTCTTACATCACGGGAAAAAATGGTATGATGTTTTTAATTCTTCCAGGAACATTCCCAGAAGTGGAATAGCTGCGTCAAATGGGATCTCTAACTCTAGTTTTCACCGTGCTGGAGCTTTGTTTTGATGTGCAAAAACTTTTAAATGAGATGAGATCCAAATTGTTGATTCTTTGAAGTGGTTCCCCTGTGATCTGGGTTTTGCTAATGAACTCCCTGTCTACATGTATGTTTTCAAGATTTTTCCCTATATTCTCTTCCAGTAGATTTAGTATTTCTGTTTTAATATTTAGATCTTTGATCCATTTTGACTTTAGTTTAGTGCATGCTGATAGACATGGGTCTAGTTTTAGTCTTTGGCAGGTGGAAAGCCAGTTTTTCCAGCCCCAGTTGCTGTTGTCTTCCAGTGAGTATGTTTGGCCTCTTTGTCAAAGATAAAGTGGCTGAGTGTGTTTGGAGTTCTGTCTGCATCCTTTAATCTTTTCCACTGATCCTCAGGCCTGTTGTTCTTTTCTTTTTTGCCAGCAGCATGTTGATTTTATCACGTAGCTTTGTAGCATAATTTAAAGTCAAGGATTGTGATGCTTCCTGCCTTCCCTTTGTTGCCTAGAATTTCTTCTGCTCTTTCCTGTCTCATTTATTTCCAAATGAATTTTTAAAATGTTTTCTCTAGTTCTGTGAGATATGATATTTTGATCAGAATTGCATTAAGTCTATATAATAATTTTGAGAGTATGGTCATTTTCATTATGTTGCTTCTTTCTATCCATGAGCAACAGATATCATTCCTATTTCTGATATGCTCTTCAATAT